AATTTCGATAATTTGCAAAAATTCAATTCGAAACGAAGCGACGTTTCTATTTCTTCTATTTTTCACAAAGTTCACGTTTGAAATATTTAATAAACTTTAAAAACTTCAACCAAATCTTTTATTTTTTCCCCGATGACACAACACTGGAATAAAACTATATTGATCGACGTCAGTAACAGTGTCGATTCGTTGGAGAACGGTCGGTCGGAAAGTATCCATCGAAACAATAGTGGAGACCCGACGAGTATAATAACGGGTACAGAGATACGCGTGACCTGAATTATGAAATCGTCGTCGCGCACAACGTTCGCTGCAGTTTGGTTAAATAATTAATGATGGGAAAAAAAGTAGATATCCTTTTATCATGGAATTCGATACGGATTATCCGTGATCGTCACGCGAACCGCTGTCGAAGAAACGTGATCGAAAGAATGGCTATGCAAGTGTCAGTACAGCTTGTGAAATTAATGAAATCTCATGGTAATAAATAGATTCAACCTGTATTCTATGGATTATTTATGTTTTTTTAATTTCCATGCAGCTTATCTATGAAGTAGATTGAAATTATTTATAAAGAGGATTAAATGCAATACGTTGTTTTCAGCGAAATTAATCAGCAAAAAATATAAAACACTAATCAGAGAACCATCTACGTAAATATACACGTATGAAAAATATCACTCTATTAAACCCATCTTCCTTTCATGAAACTGATCACCCTACGAAACAAACAGAAACTATCAACTTGAAAGCTCTGAAACACGATCCAACGTCCATCGAGAGTTTCCATTCAAAGAAATTCATTTATTTTCTACAATCACGCTTTTCCATGTTTAATCGGGGCAGAAAGTTTCCAAGAGCCTGATATAACATGAAATTTCCATTTCGAAAATCATCGATAATTAAGTTGAAAGATTATTTAACATGAATCTATACGTTACCACGAAATGATCGATAAATTTCACGGATCTCGTGTTCGTATAGAACGGGTAAATGGAAACCACACTGTACAACACGGTGTTACGATGAAATTCGTTAATTAATGCCACGCCAAGTCGTCGACTGGTATGCTTTGAACGGAGCCTAGTTGATAAAGAGGGGAGATTCAATTCGATGTAAAGGCGGTAAACGAGCTTGGCCGAAAATGCATGACCTAATTATCAAACATGTGACCCCTGTTATCAGGATGGATCGGACAGCATAACGTGGCCAACCCACAGCATCTTGAGAATGAGCCACGGGTATTAGTTTATTACTATGAGTTCATTTAACTAATAATGTAATCCAGTTTAATATACAGGTTGTCATTCAATTTTGATGGCACAAGCAAAAAAATTAGACAAGAAAACGTAGAATAAAATTCCCTTTTATATTTACATAAAAATATATATAATTGAATTTATAGTCTGTTGAATTCTGTAATGAAACGAATGAATTAATTGAAAGATGGACATATTTATTGCATTATAAGAGGAGAGGAAGTAAAGAAGGTTCGACATTTTGAGACTCGTGTGGTCGAACGTCAATTGGTAGGCGCTAATCAGAGCATAACAGGCACGGATCGATGTGCATTCAATTAAACGGGATCACGAATCTGACGAATTTAGACGTTAATGTAAATTATTCTGTACCATTCTTCGAACTTTCGTCTGTTCGATTTCAATCAATGATCGAGGATAAAAAACACAGATCCTGGCTATTTCGGTGGTCTCGTATCGTTCGACAGGAGATTAGTTTAAAATTGCACGAACAGAGTGGTTGGTTCAGCAAAGATAATGATGTAAATTTCAAATTGTAGAATAATTTTAATTACCTCGTTAAATAAATAAAATCTGTTGTGCAATAATATAACAGTAATTCTCGATTCTACTATATTTTATACCTCCAGTGTGTTTTGTAACAGTATGAAGTCCCCATACTTATCGCAGTGTTCGATTCTACGAACCGTACCACAAGTATATTTATGCTGGAACTTCTGCAATAGACAGTTCAATAATTCTACAGTGACCAAAGCGTACTTTGTAGCATTCGTCGGATAGAAAAACATCGTAAATAATTCTAACTCTATATAATTAAAGCAGATACGTTGAACCTGGAGCCCTTATTTATTGCAAAATCCGGTTCTACAAATATTTGTTTTCACAGTTCAAAATGAGACCATTTAATCAATGAGCTACTGACTTTCTTGCCGCTTGAAATACACTAAATCTCTTTGTATGTAGCACAGGATAGTTACTCGATGACTCAGAGTTGCCTAAACTGCATTCCATTTATTTCACAATCTACTTTCCCCATCCTCTTGTAACATTCAATTTTAACGTGCTTTCCATCCGAAAGACGCATACGATGCGTCATCGATTGTCTCGATTAATCGTTAATTAATAAGCTAATTAATCATCATCGATTAATTAATGTCTCATGACGCATACGGTGTGTTATCGGTTACATTAAACCGATGGCTAAGAACGCATATGGTGGGTCACTGATTGCATAGTTTCAGGACGCACACCATTCTCTCATGGACACGAACGGAAACGCTACGATACCGTTATCGTTCGTAATCTGTACACAGTCGCTTGAAATGGAAAAAAGTAATGAAAAATGAAGTGCGTAATGGCCGTTCGATCGATACGCATCGAAAGAAACGTCTCGTTCGAGCGGCGTTGTTGGCGATGCTTTTAAATCGCGTGATAAGTGCCATTAGCCGTAGAGCTTGGGCAATAATGCATAAAGATTGTCGTCCGATTGGACGGTAGATAAATGAGACGCAAGATAACAGAGCGATGGAAGATCGAACGGGAAATGATTTGACACGGTTTTGTGGCCTGATATCGTTTTCGGTTCATGATAAAGATCATTAGCGAGCTGGTTAATGTTATTCGGATGTACTATCCTAATGGAAAGTGAAATCATCTCCTTCGGCTTGAGATAAATTGAAATTTAGGGATACTATAGTTTTTTACAGAGATTTATGTTAAAAATTGAGAATTTTTTCTAATTGAATAACACAAGTAGTTTCTCTTTATTCAACGAATATGAATAGTTCTGTATTTTCAGAACAAAAATTACCAGCTTTGGATACGAAACCCGGTTACGAACAATACACTCCCAGACTATATCATTTCCGTAAATAGCACGTATCTTCATTTTCGTTTGTGTGGCGTTTTTACACCGTTGACAATACGTGTTTACATAGACAAAACTTGACAAATATTGATATTTTTCCTCGCGATCAGTACCCGAGAATTTCGTCTTCCAAATTACACCCAAAGACCATCATTTAAGTATCAAATTATGTAAACATACAATCATTTATGAATTTCGTGTAAATTTTTCATTTTACAATTTATTTATGTACCAGAATACCTTGTGCCAAGCTTATTTATTCAAAAATCACATAAAAATGTCTGACAGCGGGATGTAGAATTGCATGAACAAAATCTGGATGATAGTTGAATGGCTGTTATTCAGATTGCAACTGTGAAATGATAAGGTAAAGAGATCATAATAAAATTTAATCTCTCTTTTAAAGTTATTTCAACCCATTCGCTATACCTGGGTTAATTACACGTTTTCTAAGAGCTTCACGGACATCACGGTTCATTACGATTGCAACGTTTCCTTTGTTGAACTCGTACAATGGTGACTATGCTCTTTACCAGGCTCTATTATAAGTCCGAATGAAAACTCTGATACAGGGTGTAGTAGCACGTTGAACTTTTGAAACGAAACGAACGAAACTTTTCAGTTTATTCAAACACCGGTGAATAACGTTATTCACCTTATTGTTTGATTGCCATCTTATAAGATAACTAGTGCTCACTTGAAAACTGACATAGTACCTTAATCTTCTTTTTATATGATTTTCAAACGATTCGAATTAATACCGAGGTAAATATTGTCGACATAGTTTATCCTGAACCAATGTCGAATTGATAAACATCCGATGACCGTTTTCCTTTCGCTCGGATCAAATGAATTTAATTTCGTTTTGAATCGTCACGAAGGATTAATAAGATATTTTTAAACAAATTTTTGCTAAAAATCTATTTTATTTTTGGTAGACTTTACAGGTTTCTGTAATCTTAACGAAGGTCTCAACAAAACACCACTACTCAAAGAAGTAGTCTAATTGCTATTTCTTTTACAAAAATAATTATTGTCCAATAGAAATTGATGGTCTTATTTGAAATTGACATTTCAATATTAAAATTATCGTTAAATTCCGTTACAAATTTTCCATACGGCCCAACAGATTTATTTATACATTAGCAACCCTATGACAATCGCGTTCGAAGGAGCACGTTGTAAACAGGCATCGATGCACAGCTGAGACGGGAACGAGCGGATTGGCGCGAAGACGACGAATACGAGACGGAGAATGCACGAGAGGAATTATCGACGCGCGCGGCTCGAGTATACCGCTATACCAGCTCCTCGATCAAGGTCGCGACGAGGGTCTTCCGCTACGTTCGCTTACAAAGTCGATGGACACGTCTAAAGACGTCGATCCTTACCTTATAACGGATATCAAAAGACACGCGTCTGATTGGACACGGGGTCGATCAATGAAAACGGGCCCCGTGACTATTGAACACCAAATTCGATGAATATTTTAACGCGCTAGGTTACTCATTGTTACGAGCGACGTTTCTAATATACGGAAATGAGAAGGAGAGAGGTACACAAGGGCAGCATCGATAACGATCCGTGTCTCTGCTAGTCCGTTTGAAATAATTGAGTTTCTGTCAGTCTACTGTCAAATATTCGTCGGACACCTGGAACCGTAACTGTCACGCAATCTCAGCCGTGAGCTTACAGTGACAGCGACGAACTTTGCTCGTTACGGAGCAGGATTATTTAGTGGCTAAGTGGACGATAAAATGGTATAGAAAAAGTCTGATAGAATATCCGTGATCGTGAGGAGAATACAAGAGAAAGCGAGACGGAGGAACCGCGTGCTTAGTCGCGCCGACGCATCGTTTACGGCTATCACTAACCTGACAATCGTCTGCCTATCAGCACGGCCAATGCTGGGCTAATGTACAGCCCCAGGTGCTCGACAGGTTTCCACTGGTCTGCTGTCACGTACGCTGAGTCCTTCCTCGTCGTTTCTCGTAGGACGTTGCTCTCAATGTCGAACGTTCACTGTTCCTCCTCTTCGCAGAAACGTCACCTCCGTTTTCTCGTTCCCGAGCTGGTCTCGTGAGCGCAGCTCCGAGCGAAAACCCGCCAAGATACCCGGGTATTTGGTCGCATTCGTGCACGAACAGTAACTGACGGCCTTGTCATCGAGGCGATCAGTACGGCACCTGAGCGCGCGTACACTCCAGCGGTCGACTCGCGCACCGACCAATAAGAAGGCGCGCTGATTGCCGCGCATGCGCGGTACATCCTTTTAATGGCGGCACCTTTCGAACCGCTGCTGTTTAATATACCTATATTCAACGTGTATTGCAATAACATTTTTCGTTATCTTATCCGTGAATATGCGCTGTTTTGCTAGCTTCGATCATGGCATGTAGTACGCTGCTTAGTAAACAAGCGGTGTTTTATCAAAACATTGTAAATCGTAAAGATTTAGAAGTTAAGTAATCAACTTTGTTTCTGCTTGTTGTTAAGGATGCAATTGCTGGTTTTAGCATAAAATATTTATGTGAACAGTGCTGTAATGTTGATTTATGTAATGTTCAAAACATTCATAATTTTGTGTGAAGAGAAGGAGGAACGTTTTACTTCCTTCTTGTAAACAAAAAAATAAATGTAAATTAGGTAGATTGTATAATAATATGTGGAACAATTTGTGCGTAACTGCTTTATGATTTCTTGGTATGCATTTGGTTGTGCATGATTATCTACGCTTCGCTGCCAGATGGCAGCTGTTGTTTCATTCTTTGCAATTGATAACTAAAAGAATAAAAATAATGTGGATAAATATATATTTTAGAAAAACGTAGAGTTAACGTTTTATTAACGAATACGATTCACAGGATATTAATTGTAATTTTTAATAAAAAAAAATGTTAATGAACTCATAATTCGTTTGTTTATTATTGTTTCAACCCGACAACTGCATTATCCCAATTGTCCCACGTAAAACAATAGAACATCACCATCGTTTATAACCTTGTCTTTCTGTTGTAATCATTTATAAAAATGTATTGCTGTGCAGGTGGCATTTACTGTGAATATATTAATGGAGTTCAATTTGAAAAATTGAAAACGAAATACAATATCGATGAAGATATAGTGGTGGATTACACATTGCAAGATAAAGTTCGTCAAATACCATCCATATCTTTATTGATAATTAATAATTTGGATCTTGTGATTGCAACGCCATCTTATTTTATTTAATCACATAATTTATAAACTTTCCAGGTTCATACATCCACACACGATTGGATCGGAATTTTTCCACGAGGGTGGACCAACCTTCAGCAATATCTAACCTTCGAATACATTGTTGTAGCACCGAAATTATTATCGTCCTCTAATCGTAGCATCGTGTTTTTGCATACTTTTCATCGTGAGGTTATAAAATATTATTAATGAAATATTACACTGTCTTTGATACTGTTTAAGGAGAGCAAAGATGAAAGTTTCCTAAATTTATCATTGCTTTCTACGTTAATAACAAAATTACTAACTACCTTCTTCGTTAAGTGAATGTTATCGTACGTTCGAAAACCTTATAGGCGTCGCCGAACATCGATTATCAATTCGTCTACGTGAGCAAAAAAGTAGTAATCCTGGGTACTAGCTCTTATTTCCGGTTCGTCGTGTCACCGTCCCTTCGTTCCCTCGATCGAAAGCCCGACACGCCAGAAGTAAGTCGTAACAGCGAATTCGCAATTTCCGCTCGTTCCATTACAAAACGGACGCACCCTATCGAATGCTAACAATCAAACGTAATCCAACAGATCGTTCACGAGGCTCATCTACCGTCGATCGTGTCACCTAGGCCAACCGATACGGGAAAAATCATGACAAAGAGCAAATCAATCGACAGCTTTATCGAATTTCATCGCAGCACTTGCGGCTTCTCAGCGGATCAACCACGAAGAACCTGTCGACATTGCAATAATTCAAGATTCGATTCGTCGTTCACTACGAAGAAGGTCAGGCATCGTCTCTCAAAATATTCGATAATTCGCGCTGAAACTCGAGGAAACTTTGACAGTGTAATGAGATTCGGATTCAGAGTTTCGATAGAATCATGTGGGTGTAAAATCGTCGAGAACGTAACGCTTCGAATTTAGATTTCTGGCTCGAAGCGCTCGAGAGGAAGTTTATTACTTAAAATAAAGCTAACAATTTGACGTTGATTTTAAGTTCGATTGAAGATCGATTGAAATTTAAAGGTACAATTTTTGTCGCTGCTTAATGAACATCTGATGGCGCGAGTGGGACGATTAGACCGTGATTTGGATTTAACTGAAGCGGCTCTGAAGTCCGAGAAAATGGCACGAACGGTGTTGTCGAAGAAGCTACAAGCTTATCAAAGCTTCGTCGAGAAAATGTTCAAGTGTTTGAACAGCACGGGGATCGTGAACTTTAGAGACAACACAGGGAAGGAGGTATATTTATTAAAAGAGTTTCATAAAGAAGTATAGATTATCGTTCGTTTATACTTGATTTAGATTACTGTAGAGAAGGTGAAGTCCAAAGAATTATCTTCGATACGCGTTCAACAAGGCGACAAGTTTGTTCCAGTTCCAGAGGTTTCCATGTTGCATCGATCTTCGGAGTGCAAGAAGTGCAACGACGAAGAAACTGCAGAGGCAAACAAAACCGTGGAAATCCTTCAGGGAGTGGTAAATCTGATCTCATATAATACAATCTTAAATTCCAAAATTTATAAAACTATATTTCAAATAGAACTTAATATCCGATGAAGCACTGAAAAAAGAACAAAATGTACCGTACGATTTCGACGAAGACATAGAAAAAGTTCTCGAAAATCTTTATAAACAACCATCACTGGCCGTGGAAACATCAATCACTGCACCAAAAATTCAGGAAACTTCTGTGAATCAGAGGTAAAAAATACATTTAATTGTAATTTGCAAATCGAACAAGTTTCTCAACAATTTCAGCGATTTTTATGCAACTAAAGAGGCCAACAAAGCGGTAAACGAGCAAGAAGATAACGAAGTCGAGCTAAAAGGAACGGAGAGCAACGTGGACGATTGCCATTCAAATGATTTCAAAATATTCGATGACAATCTAAAATTTGATGAAAATAATTTGCAGGGTAATGATCTTCTTGCCGTTCAATAATGTAAATTTTATTATTAATCATAATAGACTTGATGCAATATTTGTTTCACCTAGAATGGGTGCTCGAAGGTGAATGCTGCTTGAAAATATCTAACAAGATTCATCAGATGATGGATAACGTGGAGATGAATTTGGAAAACTGTCTGAAAAATCATGAGAATCGCGATGCATCCTCGGAGATGTCGGAAAATATGGAAACCGGGACCAATCGAGATAAAGTTCGATCGAAAACGTTTACGGTTACAATAAAATGTAGAAATGCTAAATTTTCTACTATCAAGTAAAATTTGATTCAGATGTCTAAAATTCAAACGATTATCCATAGATTCTAAAAAAAATACGTTTACATCATACTATGAGTCATAATAAATACAGTGGATGAAAAAAATATTGGCACGCCTTGCTTTTTTGCAATCGCTTTATTTAAAGTAATCCGATATCATATTTTTATACAGACAATAAAAAAATTGCAACAAAGCAGAGTGTTTTAATATTTTTTTAACTTACAGAAAAAACACAAGGCGTAAATAATAAAATGTTCAATATCCGCTTCTATGTTACTTCTCTTCTTGTTAAACACGTTACGTCCATTGTGATCTTTTTTGTACGATATCGCAACATTAATAAATAGGTTTCAGCGAAACGGCAGTTTTTTATTAACCACGAATTTTGATACAAAAAGGTAGTCTCGAAAACACGTTGCTTTTCGTTGAATAATAAATATTTGTCTGTTCATTCTACAGACTGTAGCTTTCGCAGTGCAAATTGTTCCTATTGGTATAATTGAATGGTGATGAAGGTGAACCAAGCCGTCGCAAAATTATTGGAGTAACGAAGAATATTTATCAGCTTATAAATTCTTAAGTAAAATAGTATTAAAATTATGCAACTTTAGTAAAGTTAATGGTTACTCCTTGAATTATTTTTAAATAGATTGCGTGCTAATGAAGCCATGCGGTAAAGAAATGAATGCAAATTTTCCAGTAAAAACGCTGCTTTTCTTTCAAGTTTCAGTCGTTCGGTTACTGTTCAATCGTCTATTTATTTTTCAAAAAAATAAAGTGACGGGGTGGAAGAGGTCGTACAGGAAGTCGAAACGTTTCTGTTTTCAAGCACGTGTATCGCCTCGTCGAACGATTCGAAAAACCGACTAAATATAGAACAGAAGCGGCGTTATTGTTGGGTTGCACGTATTTTCGTAGCCACGTCTCTTTTTCCAACGGTGTCTTCGTACGAATTTATGAATTTACGACGCCAGAAAATTCGCCAAACCAATGGTCGCGTCATCGCATTGAATCCCAAAGTCAGAATGTGATTAATTTTCCACACAAAATACCATCAATATCATGTTGGAAAAATAATAAAGGAAGTTAGAATTAAATTTGAACTGCAAATTGTACATTAGATGAAAAAGTTTTCCAGTCTTTCAAGAATTCGGTCGTCCAAGAATTAATACAAAAATTGAAGTTTTCTCATAGAATGGCGTTTGGAATTTGATGATGTTTGAACCTCCAGCTGATCGTGGAGCGCAATTCAGGAAGTTTATCATCGACTTCCTAGATCACGACTATCCACACGGAAGTGTCGATCGCGCCTGCGCCGGATCGAAAGCCGTGGGGCTTCGCGCACGCGGTCTTTCGAAATGGTATTTTTAGAGAAGTGAGTCGCTAGTTTGCAAGCAGAGACGGTAGTCAAGTGTCGCCGTTGACCCTAAGGAAATCGAACCCTGGCGAACTATCGACGACTCGGATGACCACCGGTGAGTTCTGTCTCGAAATCCTCCCATCAGAATCGATCCCGGATCGACAAAAGAATGTCGATCCTCGAAAATTGCTCGTCGTACGTTACACTCTCGTTTTTGATCCTTCGAATGATTCTTCGGTGAGTTTCGCAATTTTCTTCGTTCCTCGCGCAATTCCTCTTCGTGACGCTGTGTCTGTTAGATGATTACGCGATTCAAGACACGTGCTACGAAAAATCGGTGGATACGATGGACTCGACGGCTTTTCTCGGTTCGTTCTCTTCTCTCGTGGAGCTAAATTTGGAAGCAGTGCTGTACCGCTTGCTACACCTATTTATGATGTATTTATGGCAACGGACCGACTCGTGCTCGCGTTTGTTTCGCATGTTCGATAGATGTTGTACAGTTTCTTGATCGTAGAAACTATAAATCACCTGTCTTTTCATTAAGAGAAGATAACACGTTCTATAAATTTGAATTTTAGAAATTTATTCGTTCATTTGTACTAGACTTGTAAGCTTCGAATTGACATAAGTGGTCATTTATGCTACCTTTATGTCATGAATTCGCGTCAGACTTTTTATATTTGAAATGTTCTTTTGGTAATGCCATGGGTCACCGCTGACCCACGTGACACTCTTTGTTTCCAATGGAGGAGTCCAAAGTCACGAATTGATTATTATCTTTCTGCGAAGTAAATTATTTTATTTGGCATGGAACATAGAGAATTGAATTCTATAGTTGGTTCTTTGTTTTCCTTCGCCCAGCTCGGAAATATGCGGCCGTTTTCGATCGTAGATCGAGTTATATTTAAGCATATTTACAAGACGCCACGCATTTCGAGCAGAGACGCGGTAGCACGCGAGTCATAAAGCTTCTTCGAGGGTTCCCTGTCGTAAAAATGGCACCTTTGATCTTCGTCACACGGATAAAGAAAAATGAATTATGATAAATGTTTTATATTTGAGATTAATCGAAAGTTCGTTCGACGACTGAACGATTGACTGTTTCTTTTTCTTTCCGGTAGAGTCTTGATTTTTTTCGCAGTTCGTTGTCGATAAACGTCAATGCCGATTTTAAACTAAAAGATCTAGATTGATCTGTCTTCTATAAATACGAATTGACCCGGTCCGACTTTTTTCCTCTGTGCCAACTAGCTACCAAGCTGATCTCCTCTTTGTAGATCGTAGATATCAATATAGATCCGTTTATCCCAAGATTTGTTCTATTTTGAAAATCTCTGCCATTTCTAGGAACAACAACAAATCTATAAAATTTAATACAAGATATATTTACGACATTATGCGAATAGTATAAATACGAAAAGTAAATTAATACTATAATACAGCTAACTGTTTGTTACGTTTCCCTAAAAATTGACTAGCTTCTATTTAAACGATAATATTTGCAACATACAATTTTCGTGGTGCTCGTTTCAACGTAGAGTGAGCGATGTTCACGTAAAGCGAAATTTCCCAAGGGAATTGGGAGTTCAAGTAGAGCGAGTGTAACATAAATGCGACTGCAGTAGTAGTAACTACGCTATTTCCTAAAATTCCTCCAAAAGCTTTTAAAACGCATGGTTAAAAAAAGATCTAACACTTTTTATACCAGTTACAAGTGCTTCACGGTAGTACTTTTCATCGCAGGTCGAACAATCCTGCAGAAAGGAGGAATTTCGCGAGGAAATTGGCGAATCAAGTAGAAGAAGCGTAGGATGGGCGCGACCGCCAGTAGTAACGGTGTACCATCGCCGTCGGCATCTACCAGGGAACGAGACGAGGAGACATTTGCCCGCGGGGCAGAAGAGTCCTGCTGTCCGGAATACACGAACGAAAATATACGACAAAGGAGGAGGACCAGTGTGTTCGATGTGGGTGAAGAACCTCGATCACAGGTTAAATTTAAAACGAATATTTATTGCTGTTCAGCTTGCGACTGAATGAGAACGAACGCTTAGCGTACATGCGAGTTGGAAGAGTTTTATTTGAATTTTTCAGGGTCCGAGTCCTTACGCGACCTTCAGGGGCGAAGAATGGTGGAATCAAAGACCATCCGCCCCGAGTTTGTCGAACTTGCAACCACCTAGAGAGACTCTGGTAAGAAATGATTTCCCTTTGTTCCTGAGACAATTTGCACGATTAAATTGGCAAATTCAATTTGCCAATTAATTAAATTTACACGGTAATTGAAAAATTTTCAGTAACGTTAAGTTTTCCATAAGTGGAAAATACATTTCACTATCCTAATCTCTGATTCCAAGTACTGGAGTTCTTTCAAATTCTATATACGATCTTATGATTCAACATTAAACCCTAAAGCTGAGGAACTTGGCGATGGCCAGTTAAGATTAAGATCAAGTGGACAATCCAAAATGCAGTCAGAAAATTTAATAATATACACTTACATCGCATTCTCCCAAAAGTAGCCATCATCCAATCTATCTGCATCTACGTTAAGTGATTAAAATCTCCCGTAAGAAGTTCTTTTTCGTTCGAAACACAATGGACGTTGGCTGGCAATTTTCCGAAACGTTTTCTTTTGTCTCGTGGAAAAGCGTCGCTGGTTTGCTGGCTGATCTCCAAGTGCTCGAGTCTCTTCATGATTTCGGGAGAACACGCTGAGTCACGGTCAAGCAGAGGCAGAATTCGCAGGCATCGATCACGATCACGTGTTTTCGCGTTCCGAGTTCCTTTCGGAGAACTCGTTGCCTCTTGTGCCAGTGCACTCTCGTGGATCGTTCGATGAAGATCGAGCTTGAAATTCGCGCACGATCGATCCTCGAAACAGTCGGTCTCTTTGTCGACGCTGCGTGCATGGATACGCGAAGCTTCAGTCGTTTGTGGATCTTCGTCAAACTCGGACGTTGTTCGGAACATCAATTTTTTAAGTGGTGATCATCGATCAATTTTCTTGAACATTGTTTTCACTCATTTTTGTGCGAGTAATTGTTACGTCAATTACATTAAGTTTACAAAATTGGAATTACATAAATTTAATTAACGAATTCGCAAGATTAAGAATGTTCAATTTTCAAATTACGATTTACAAATATCTCAAGATGAACTTATCAAAAATCCTACAATTCAATATTTAATTAAAAATTTCTCGTTTCCATTGTGAAAACGAATACAGCATCCATACGTAAGACTAATTGCCTCTCTGTCTGTGGCGGTGGAATGCAAAATAGAGCAACGCGCCACGTAACCATTCCTTGATCCAGAATTCCAATCGTCGATCGCCTTAGCTTTCGATCAGCGTCTCTGAAATTAGTCCATTTATTTATATTGCAGTTGACGTACGCCGCACAGATGACAGGTTGGCACTCGTCCGATGGGCACAGCCCTTTGTTCTCTCAGCACCAGGAGGCTATGGAGTTGTCTCGAGTGATCTCTCAGTTGGCCATGGCTAACCAACAGCTGGCCACAGCTCACGCGGCCACTTTAGGACATTTAGAAGCGTTGTACGTGGAACTTCGAAAGGAAAGAGAGGCGAGAAGACGCGCAGCCTCCTCTGAAACGTTGGATGTGCCGTTGAAGAAGAAACTGACGATCGAGCAGGAAGACGAAGACGAAGAGGACGGGAAACGACGAATGGAGACGAGGATCGATAGGCTGGAGGAGAACCTGTTGACAGACTCGGACACCTGTCAGGGTAGACAGAGAAATTTGTGCCAAAACGAGGAGAGGAAACTTTGGACCAGGATAGAAAGATTGGAGACGATGATGAAGAATAGATGTAGAAATGATCCGACGGAGAATTGGGACTCTTCGAATCATAGACAGACGATGGAGGTCGGCTGTGATAAGCTTTCGTATAGCATCGATGTACCTGAACAAGAATTTAAAAGGACGAGTGACAAGGATCTCAGAGTAGAGAATCAGCGAAGAGATTCGAATTCGAACGACCAGACGGATCACGCGTCGGTGAATTTGCATTTAAACAAGTCTGAGGATGAGCAGTGTACAATGAAGAGCGACGAGGATCGGAGAGTGCTTAGGGAAGAGACGATCAGGCTATCGGAGGAGGTCGAGAGGCTAAAGGCTGAACGATTAGAGTACCAAAGCTTGAACGAAAGACTGGAAAAGGAGCTGATGGCGGAGAAGTCATTGGCGAGCAAGTTGAAGAAGGATTGCGAGGTACGTTTCGCGAGTGAATATGATTTTCTTAGCGAATAAATATTCGAAATATTAATTTCAGGTATCGAAAATGCGACACGAAGAGCTGGAATCGAGCTTACAAGAGCGCAGAGAAGAGTACGATAAACTTATGGAAAAATTCGATGTAGCTAAAAAGGAAACTGAAAGGCTGTTGGAGGAAATCGATAAGTTTAATAGTCAAAAAGATACTGTCGAGGCGAGGATCTCTAGTTTAGAGCAGGATTTACAGAAGTCTTTGTTAGAGAAGGAACAGATCAAAAGTATAGAGAGCCAGAAGACTTTGAAATTGAAGGTACAGCTGTCTGAGGAGGTTTCAGACAAGAAGAAACAGATCAAGGCTCTCGAGGATGCTTTGGATGAGATTCAAAGACTGAAGGAGACTATCAAGACTGAGAAGAAGAGCGACGATGATGACGCTTCGAAAGAGGACATAGGTACGTCTGCTTGATACACGATTAATTAGTGAAAATGTTCGAAAATATAGGCTTGCAATTTTCAGAAATTTTCCATATTTCCAATTTTAACGTGAAAATTTCCAATTTTAAATATCTCTACCAGATACATTCGCATTGCCTGAGGTATATATCCCAGAAATACGTGACAATTACACTTTTCATAGGTCCACTCGAACCGACAGACGGATCTCAAGGGAACGCTTCAACAGAGCGTGCAACGAATTTGGAGGAATTCAAGAAAGAACTGACATTGAAAAGAGAAGCCAGACAGAGAGCGATCGCTGCTGTTTCCTCGGAAATGGAGCGGCTTAGACGCGAATTAGATGCAGAGAAGGAGGCACATTCGGAAACTTCGAGGGTGTTGGACCTTCTGAGGTCTGCGCAGAACGATTCTCAAGCTGAGGGACAAAGAAACGTGGATGAAAGCTTGAAGAGATCCAGGATAAGAGATCAGAAGCCGGATGAACAGGAGGTGATTACGAAACGAGTGGAAGCTCAACGACTGTCAAGTATTCTGAAGGTAAAAATCATTATCGCTCATAATCAATTAATTAAAAAATCGTTTCGAAATGATTTAAAGAAAATCAAAATAATTCCTATCAAATTAGGTCTCCGACGAGCTGAGAAACGACGTTCGCTTGCAAATCGATAAAATGGACGACCTTCGGTACCAGCTGGAAACGGAACCGGATCATCATCGATATCGTATCCGAAGCTTGGCAGAGCTTACCAACAAGACGCGGGAAGCTCTTCACAGCAGAGAACTCCGTGCCAATGAGCTGAAGGACCATCTCGCGCAGATTCTGGTCCGATTAGGAGACAGAAGTTTCTTGGACCTAAAGGACGACGTTGGCTTGGAGTATGAACGTCAGCTGGAGAACATCGATAGCCTGAAGTGTCTCTACAACGCAAGGCTAAAAATGCTGAGCGAATTGAAAGAAGCTGCAGTCAGGGAACTGATGGACGTGAAGGAGAGATTGGATCACGCTGTGAAGAAGTCGGAGTCCCTGGAGGAGGACCTCAGAAAGGCTGACGAGAAGGTATTACGAAATAATTTTTAATAAAGACGTATTGTCGTTTGAATGGGTTTAAAACTTGTCTATATATGAATCAGATCGATGCACAAGATACGGAAATAACGAATTTGGAATCTCAGCTTGGACTCACCAAGGCTGATTGTAGAGATCTTCAGAATCAAATGTCTGTTATCAATGGACTGTTCACTCAGATGCTTCTGGGTGCTTCCTCTGCTGACATGGACCTCGATCGACTGACTCAGTTACTTCAGGTATCGTCTTAATATTTAACGGTATCATAGTTCATTTAGAGGGTCGAAATTGAAAATTTGAAATATTCAGGAGAATCACGATTTGATATGCGACATGGCGAGAGAGGAGGGCACAGAGGCTGCAGCGCTTCCGAAGCTCCTTCTTGATATAATCGAACAGGTCGAGGGTGGCAAGGGAGCTCAAAAGAGAACAGATAGCGAAAATAGTGGAACTGAAGCCGAAGCGGAGAAAAGAGAAGAGGATCTTCAGCAGGAAGACATAGCGCACAATTTGCCCAAGGTAATTAATCGAAAATTTTCTTTCTCACGCGTCGTGTCGTATTTTTGAATTTAAAAACGAAGAACCATCAGTCTCGTGGTGATTTATTTTCTTCCAGGTATGGCGTGTTCTGTTGGAACTGCTGAGTTGTCACGCAGAAGGCACACCATCCGCTTCTGCGGCGTCCTCTTCGGATCCTAACAGCTGTTACAAGTCCGTCGACACACCGGCCGGTCCCCGGCTAGTGATTTCAGTCAGCAAAACTTACATCCGTCTGAAAGAGTTGATCCTGGAGAAAAAGCACTTGGAGAAAGAAATGAATAGAATGAAGCAATTGAATGCACATTTGGAGAGTAAACTTGGGGAACAGGTAAAAGAATAAAAATATCATTTGTTTAATATCTAAATTACGCTGCTCAATTTTTGTTTCCTCTTATGTGTTGTTCTTCAGGAGAAAAGACTGTCAGCAGTGTCCGCGGAGTTGAGCAAAACCTGGACCATCGTCGATCGAATGCAAGCTCAACATCATCAGCTGCACACTCACGAAAAGATTCTACGATACGAGCTTCAGCAAAAGAGGAAGATGCTGCAAGAGTTAAAACAGGAATTAGAGTACTGTCGCGAGAAGTGGGAGTCAGCCAGACAAAAGAACACGAACACTGAACTAGAATGGAGGAGTTTGAGACGAGAATTTGCTGCTAGGAAAGCTTTGGCTGTTCATGATTCTTTCAACAATAGGTAAAATAAAATTAAAAATTTACAGATTTTACATTTTAAAATATAATTTTAATATTTTTGATATTTATATCAGCGCTGAAAGTGGATTCAGTGACGAACGAGGAGACGACACTGACGAAGAAGAGGATAACTCTGTTGAAGAAAGAATCAGGCTGGGTCCACGCAGGAGACCGCGAAAGGTTTGAAACTATTTCGAAAGGGTTAACTTTCTTTAGACTTTGAATTATTGATAAAAAATACCTTTCAGGAGAGTCCTCGAGCACCAACTCCAGACACCGAATCAGAACAGCCAACGGATACCGAGCTATCCGAATCGAAAACAGGTTCTTCAGCAACGCTGGAGCAACGAACACCCACACCTGAAACGGAAACGGAATTAGATGACTCTGAAGTAATAGACTCAGCTACGATTTCCGAGCTACCAAATATAACGGACAAATCGGTATGTTTCAAAATATATATTTGCATAAACATTCACAGTTTATCGATGATTGAACGCTAATAGTAATTATTTTTCGATAGCTGATATTGAAGAGTTCTCAGGAATCACTGAACCCCCTGGACCAAGCGTTAACAAATGTCATCCAGAATCTCATAGCAATTGATGACGTATCCAGTTCAAGTTCTTCCACCTTCAAGGATCAAAGCGAGCCTCTGAAGATCATCCAAGAAGAAAGTGCAATCGTTTCAGAAGATCCCCAAACATGTCAGTTCAATTTAGAATCTACAATCCAGTCAACTGATCTAGAGCCATCGAACGAGGTTAAAAACGATCTCAAAGATGTCTGTAAAGTTTCCGAAGATGATCTTCCAGTTTCCACTGTCACGGAAGATCCGAAGAGCCCTTCGAACACGGATGGTGAGAAAGAAAAGAGCGAAGATCCCTTGAAATCATCTGTTTCTCACGTACCCACCGTAACTAGCCCAGCCAGCACGCAGTCTGTTTTCTCCATCGGGCCCTTCCCTCTCTCCATTGTGACCATGAAAAATGTCCAATTCACCGAGACACCGATAGTTAATCAATTTTTTGCTCCAGTTTTCGGTGCACCCTTGACGGAAAATCGTTTCGACCCCCCATCGTCCTCGAATCAGGACGCGAACCTTAAAGAGAAACGGGTGACCAAGTCGACGGATTGTGCCGTAGACTGTGACAGCGTGTCCGTGGATTCTTCTTCCAGCATGGAGACTGTGAAAGAGTTCTCCATAATTGAAACTCCTATCGCAAATGAGACGAAACCGGAAATGAGCTTGCAGGAACCAAGCGGATCCAGGCAAGAGGAAAAGAAGACTGTAAAGACTAGGACACCGGAGGAAGTTATAGCCGCGCGTGAGGACAGACTGAAGAGACTCGAAGAACAAGCTAAATGGTTGATGAATAAGATGAACGCTACCAGTAGAAGAGGTTCTGCGTTGAGTACCAGGCTTGAAGAGCTTCACGAAGTGTACAGGGAACCACCTGTTCCTCCACCCATGCCCGATGTCCTCCCTAGTAGACGACTCAGGACTAATTTGGAGGATCTCTCTCCTCAGGTGTGAATCTTTTAATACTATAGCTATAATAGTTTTGTCTGCCGCAGTATCCTTGACTCCTGTGTCGTTGTTTCAGGTACCTGAATCATCATTCACCGAGGGTACTATAAATACCGAGCAGTCTCTGTCGAGCAGCGCTTCTAACCAGTCGCCTTGAGACTTTCAGATTCTTCATTGCATAAAGAAACATTATTCGACGTTTATTTTCGTCGGCCATGAATAACGTGAAGTGCACGGTTTCCCAAGAAACGCGTTGGCTCCTGTTTACAGAAGCCATTGCATAATTCAGATCGGATCAGATCGTGTAAAGTCCTCGAAGAGGTGAATCGAAACGACGATGAATTTTTATAATTATCCGTGACAGACTTTGAAACGGTATCATCGATTCAAAGCAGTTCTAATATTTTTATTATCGTTTTATCGATGTAAGTAACGTCTCGTTCCTAAGTGTGAATGTAAATGTGATCACTCGCGAATCCGTTCCTTTTTTTGTACTTTCTACGAATTGTACTAATTTCACTGTATAAATAAAACGATGCAAAAAACCACAAAAAGGTGTACGAAAATGATGAACGGTCAGAGGTGTCATTGATGGGATCGATATGATTTATTTTCAAATAATTAACAATTCTCAGGGGTGTAAAAACTTTCTCTCCTCCGCGTACATGAGCTTCGATCACTAAGCTATATGTATACCATAGATATGTATAATATTCACAAAGGCTCCTCGTTTGTATAACAAAAAAATTTAAAAAAAAAGAAAAAAGACAGTTCTAGGTACGCCAAATTGTCAATTTCATTCTTCGATGATCGCAAAGGCACTCCAGACGAAAATGCTTCGAAAATTGTTGGATTTCGGTCAAACCGAACATTGTATCAGCTAAATGAGCTCGCAAATTAATTATCTTACGTCTCTTTACAGTGATATGAAACACACTCAAACCTACGAACACACTCATTCACGTTCACTCTCGCGAGATGATTGTCTAAAATATTATCGTCCACACGTTTCGTTCCTCTTCTTATCTTACGATTTATCTACAGACTTTATACCCTAGTATTGAACTTCTACGTGATCATTTTCATCGATTAATCTCATTCGTAGCAATAACTGATATCTTGTAACTGGTACCTTTTCATATCGTGAACGGTTCGTATCACAGTGCACATCGTACACCATTCGTCGTTTTACGCTAATTGTAAGAAAACATTAGAAGACTTACTCTATGACACGAGATGAAATATAAAAAAAAAAAGAAAAACGGTACGTTGGCACGTTTCGAAAGGACTGGTTGTACGAGGATACGGTACAAAGATATATTATGAGAAAGAAAAATATTTTGCAGTCTCTGACGCAAATATTTTTATACGATCAAGTTGCGCGACAGACGTTTTAGTTTTAACAAGGATCTCTTAATATTCTTTATTATTACTCTGCGCGTAAGCGTAGTATCTTCGATAAATTTACAAGTAAATTTCGATAACATCTCCTTAAATATAATTCTCCGAAAAATAAATTATGTATTTGGAGCATCTGTTGCGCGTGCTTTTTAGCTCGTTCCATAAGGCACCTCGTTGTTTCACGAATGTTTGTACAAATATTATTATATCCTATTAAACAACACGTAGCATATTAACGACACTTTTGAACTCTATCGTAATAGGTATCACTTCGTTGCTTAATCACCGAGAATATCATCCACACGTGAGGTCACGATCTAAAAATTCCACTAAATTGATTTAAGTAATTTATGGCTACTTTGCGGACCCCTTAACAAGTACAATAGAAAATACATTTTGTCTCTGGTTTATATAAAAAATACAAAAGTCTAAGTCGCTAGAACTCTCTCTCTCTCTGTTTTTAATTAATAACGATTCGATTTCTCCTATCAGTTCGTAGTAAAAATTGCGATAAAAAATATTTATATATGTATATATTTATAATGTTTACTTCTACCAATCATGGTTAACCCTTCTTCGAATTAGAAATAGAATTTTAAATTAAATTAATTAAATGTTGCAAAGTAAATTAATTTGCCCTGATGAATTTAACAAAATGCTCCAAAGAAACCATGTACGGAATTTATAGGTCCGAAGAAGGGTTAAAGAAGAATTAATAAAAAAATATACCATTCACTGGATCATTTGCAAGTATCTATTCTCCTCGAGCAATGAACTCAAGGAGGAGGTCATGTCGTTCACCACCATATTGGCACTCGTTGGGAGGGGTTGAGGCAGTGACAGAGGGTGAGTAGAACTGGAGACGTTAGTCTCGTGAGTTTGAGCATTGCCCGACCAATTTCTGCACTGTTGCACGTATTCGAGTGTCCTTCTGTACGAGTCTTGCCTCATACCCTGAGGAGGTTTTATGGGTGAGCCCTGTTGGGACTGACTGATGTCCTGGCACTGAATCTCGGGCAGGCTGGTTCCAGACTGCTCGTGATAACACTGATCGCCCCCGTAACCCCATTGACAGTTACAACTGTACTGTTGATGATTAGGTGGATTGGTTCGAGCTTGACAATTATGGGCGCAGGTCTGTTGTTGCAATTGCACCCTGCAATTGGTCTGCGGCGCAGTGCACAACTGTGGTGATGTCCTCTTCGGCAGACTATTGTCAGTTACTTGTCGATGGGTACCATTGGGATGTGCACAGTTAGGCATCTGGAGGCATGGAGTGGTCTGTTGAGCTTGCTGTTGGCAGTTTTGAAGACCAGTCATGTTGGCCACTGGCTTGGTCTGATTCATGTTCAACTGTGAACAGTGCGGTGACATCTGAGCGCACTGATTCGTTACCGCGCTCTGCAAATTAGATAGCTGACCATTAGGTGTCACCATTGGCCTGGCACATTGACTGGTCGCCTGACCGCACTGCGAGTTAGGATGGTTGATGGTGGGCTGATTAGGCATAGCCGGTTGCTGAGTGCAGTGAGGCGACAACTGAGGACAATTTCCAGGTGAACGCATCTGCACGCATTGCTGTTGGGTGATGGTGGCGTGATTTGGCGGGGCACAGCCAGGGTTCGCGTGATGGTTCACTTGGCCAGTTGGATTTCCGGTGCAATTTGTGTTCATCTGTCCCTGACAGCCGTAGTTGGGATAATAGCCATGATGCATGTGGTTCTGAGGACAGTTCCTGGTTAATTGAGCAGAGTTTTGAGGGAGATTCTGAGGTGCGTGTTGAGGCGCCAGAGCACCAGCTGCCGGCGAGGTCAGAGGTTGATCGCTGATGTGACTGGGTGCATAGTGTGATCCTGGTGACATCACTTGACCCGCTGCTGGACTCAGCACCTGACCACCATTCGGCTGAGATGGATAACTAGGCGGAGGACAGTATTGGGGGCTGGGTTGAGCAGGTCTGGAACTGGGACACTGATTGTAAGGAGATGGAGAAGTGTTTGGATAGTTTGTGCAAGGTGGTTGGGTAGCCTGCTGTTGTGGATAACAGTTTTGCTGATGCGACTGGCTGTAATTGCAGGTGGGTTGCATTTGACGCTGATAATGCAAGGGATTGGTGCATATGGGTGATTGACAGATAGGTAAGGGACTGCTGCGATAACTGACCTGGTTACCACTCGCCTGAACCTGAAATAAAATGTTCATTAATCAGATAAATCCAGAAAAATGTGCAACATCTTCTCGATTAAAAGACGCATACCTGATTCAAGTACTGCATCATCTCATCAGGAATGACCAACTTATTTTCCACCATTTCCCCTTCTCCAACTTCGTCCAGAATAACCTCCTGATTCGGGTGGTGTTCAGGAAGCTGGGCTGACCTTGGCCTAGGTGGCATAGGTGGTGAATTCCTTTGAGCTTGATGTCCCCTCGTAGGTTCGGACATACGACGATCACCTGAAGGTTGGGTGCAGTGACCAGTGGGACCGTTCCAATCTCCTGGCATACCCTGAATACCCTAAATTCACCATACAATGTTACATATTCATCTAATAACTAAACAATTTAATTTCATTCCAGTACCCCATGAAAAATACCTGAAGAGACATGTTCTGCGTCTGAACGACAAGATTGCTGGTCGAATAGGGTCCCTGAAAATGACTCGGTGGGTTCATTCTGCCAGAAGTGGTGCTCATCTGACTGCTCCTTCTGGATGTACCTGGGCTAATGGGGTCGTAGAAACTACCAGGCCCAGTCTGTCCCATTCTGACGGCGCTAACCCCACTAGCCTGACTGCTTCGTCTGCTACCAAAGTCCGTTGACTTCATACTACCGTAATAAGTGCTGACGGTGCTGTTGCTGTCTCTTCGTGGCTCGTTCAATGGTTGTAGCCTGAGCTGAAGATCGGACAGGCTCGTCTGACGAGCGGGACCACCTCCTTCCATCTTCAAGTCGGTGATCCTTCTGTTCAGATCGCCAATGTTACCCTGAGGACCCATTCCGCGTGTTCCTCTTATTCCAGACACACCGACGGGTAGGCTGGGCATGCCCTTGGCGTTTAGTCTGCCCTTTAAACGATTTCTCGAGGCAGCAGGTGGTGGCTGTTGTTGTTGCTGCGATTCCATTCCACCAACCTGTAATTCAGGGTGGATTCAAATGATTTAAATTACAAAAATAGTAAAGAAAGTTTTTCAATATTTAATATTAAGTGAAATTTACCATGGCACGAAGAGCAACTGGGAGATCGGCGATGTCCAAGTCATCAGGTTCCTCGTTCCAAGGTTCTTCAGCAAGAGCAACGCCATCACCAGTCAGTGCACCGACACCGGCGACTTCATCGTTGCAGCCACCAACCAATGGACTGCCTTGTTGCTGCATCATAGGCGGACTGTTAGCTTCGCTTTCAGACTTCACACTGGGGCTGGATAAACTTGGCGTCTTCGGATGGAGATCCTCGCTTCTGCTAGGACTGTGACCTCCTGCACCAGCCTCGTCGCTTCCGCCACCGTCACCTCCACCTCCTTTGTGCTTCTTGTTGGCATAGAACTCGGCACCGTGCACCGTCTTCACGTGTTTCCTCAGGGACGATGGGTCGGTGTACCTTTTCGTACAGCCTGGCGCTTTGCAGACGTACGGTTTCTGAAGAAATGAAAATTTTCATATGCAAGTGTCACGAATAGTGAATGTTTAATCACCCTTAGTAATGAAAGGGTAGACTTTGAAAATTAAAAGCTACCTCGTTGGAATGTGTCCTATTCTGATGTTTCGCACGATCACTGGCGTTGCTAAAGGCCTTGCTACACCCAGGATATTCACAGGTGTACGGTTTCTCACCGGTGTGAGACCTGAGATGAGTCTTCAGGTTCTCCAATCGGGAGTAGGCTTTAAAACAGCCCTCAAACTACAACAACACGTAAAAATTTCATTTTAAATTCTACTAAACATAAATCTTCATTTGAAGTTCGATGATACTTACGGTACATTTATGGGGTTTTTCGCCGGTATGCCTTCTCATGTGAACCACTAACATGTATTGAGCTTTGAATGGTTTTTCTTCTCTCGAACATTCTTCCCAGCCGCAAACGAAGCTCTTCTTGTTCGCATGAATGTGGTCGTTGTTGATGTGTTTTACGAGATCATCCTGAGGAAAGAAATG